AATGGTGAAGCTTCATTTTCAAACATAATTTTAATGGATCCACAAGTATTTTCCACGTATCATCATCCCATTCTATAGATTTGTAAATTAGATGTTCTATAAATTCTTTCAAGCAATTTTTTTTACTTTAAAAGAAGCTTATCATTTTTTAGGTCCCACACAACCATGAGGAGTTATAATACTTTTTCATAAAGCTTATTAGCACAAAACGTCCATACATTTTGATTTTCAGTGTGCAAAACGTCTCTTCATTTCAATTTTTTACATTTTCATCCCTATTTCCACGTTTTATTGCGAAAAAATCATTTTCCTGAAAATCTGTGAAATGACAAATATACCATTTTATTTAAATAAAACAAAAAGGAAAGAAAAGTAAAAATAAAAAAATAATTGCAACCATATGCCCAAATTTTTCAAAAAATTACAAACGAGTTCCAAACAAATAATTAAAAAAACGAAATAACTCCAAAGGTATTCCCACTGGTTTATCCAAAGGACTTCCGAATTTCTGTACCGTTTATGTGATCTCAAAATAAAAATTCTCTTTTGTGCAAAATGCTTCTCGATAAGCATCATTTGCTTCACCTCTTTATAAAAAAATACAGCAAATGCAAGAGCAAGTGAATAGTAAGGGCTTTTCCCTTGAAGAACGTCCCATACATATTCATAGTATGAGAGGTCTGTTGTTTCCTTTGCCTAACTAACATCGTTTCCAGTTTTTACTTTCTAGTTTAGTACATTACAATGTACTGTTAAACCTAGCCCACATATTTTTGGAGTACGTGTCGCCATTTATAAGAGGAAGAGCTTTAAATAAAATATTAAAAAATAAAAAACTAACAAAAAATAGGATGAAATTGACAGAAGCCCATTGTTGTAGCAAGTACGGCGTGATATTGCGAAGCCGGAATGGGTGGTCTTCGATGGTGGGAATCACTGTCGACGTTGAAATTGACGAAAAAAGACAGAGTGTGTTCGTTCTACCAACTGCGTTTTTGGTTGAGTTTGGCCATATAAATGTTGTTTGTTTAATTGATTTATAGGAAAGTGTTTGGGGGTTAATGACTGCTGTTTGTTGTGGAGGTTGGTTAGATGGAGTCAATGGTTCATTTGTTCCTTTTTTTTC